CGAATGAATTGGGATGAAATATAATTGATACGTTTTCAAAGATTACATCAGTAATCTTAAAAAATAGTCTCAAATTCATACAATAAAAAATTATGCGCACATGAATGTTAATGGAAGTCAATTTGAACATTTGTTAAAATAAAATAAATTACCCTATGCGATTTGTTCATAGAAGTATAATAATAACCTTATGCGGGCTGACTGTTGGGCCCACTTTAAAATACTCATCAAGGCACGTAATTGTAAGAATAAAACTAATGTCCAGTTATTACATACTTAAACGCAATCGTTATATACCAACCAAAATTGCTACAATCATGAACCCTTTCCCATTCCGAGACGTCTGCAAGTTGCAGGGTGGGTGTCCCGTTCACCCCTGAATCTCAGAACGCATCAGCGGCTCGCGTTTATTTTATCTCGAGAGGCATAGCGCCGTTGTTTTTAAACACAGTGTACTGTACTCGCCTCGGAGAACTGCAGCGACACGACCGCACTCGATGATAGCTGGCGCCAAACTGTGACGCCCTCCCACATGGCCTTTTCCTTCCGATATATTTTTCTTTTGCATGTGGAAATGTCGGAACTGTAGCAATGGCATATAACGCTACAGCAAAGATCCGCTCTTGGTCGATTCATTTAGATTATATAACTTGTGTGTGTTAGCGTTGTCGTCAATTTGCCTCTCGTCCCTTCCGCGCGCTTTGCAAAAGCGGTCTCTCAACAATTTCTGCAAGACTCCCATTTCCACGAACCGCTGGTGACTGCTGTTGCAGTTTATGCAAAGTGATTGCGGTAATGCTTTCAACATCGTTTGCTAATTATTTCAACTCCTTGACTTGACGCATCGGTGCTACCTGCAATTATGGCCTTGCCACGTTTGTAGTAATAGAGTGGGAAATGGAAAAAGGCCATAAACTCACATTGCCTGTTTCGCAATAAAATATAATCGTCATTGTCACATTTGCCATTGACAGTTGGGCCCAGACTAAAACACATGTTGTGCATGCAATGAATTGAGCCACAGGCCACACAATGTGATTGTCCACGATAGCCACTTACTTGGTTTATGGTTGCTGTATACACAAGCTTAGTGGCTGAATTTCAGTGGTTCAGTGGAATGGGATGTTGTGCAGCATGGCCATTTCAAATTGGTTGCCAGTCGTTTTAAGTGGCTGGGTGAGTGCTCTCGGCAGGAGTTGTGAGCCCCTTCGGGGACGTATTTACCCGATGGTGGACAAAATTATCGCTCTTATCTTGGCGTTGTTTGCGTGACAACATGTGCTAAAGAATGCGGGGAATCATTTGAATGCGATAGCTTTTTAAACGTATATTGTGTATTTGGAAGCTTAATGTGACCTCCTCCGAAGGTCTTAGATATTACATGAAAATGTCTCCCTACCTATTCTGCCACATGGTCGTTTAGATCTAAGGGGTCTTTTAATAGAAAGTCTTCCAAGGACTGCCCAACAGTCTGTTAAGGCTGTCGGGGCAGGTGCTGCGGGATATTTGTCTTTGCGTGAGCGTGTAAATGTGGGAAGAGGTAGTGTCGTGATGAACACACTTCGCCACGAAGTCGGCCAACCAGTTAGATTCCCGCTCACGGCAAAGACCAGGTGACTATTGTCTGAATTGGTTATGGCCTCGTCTCGGTCGATCACTGTTACGTTGTTTTTATAGCTTTATTTTGGTGATTTTGAAAAGTTTTTTGTTTAGCCATGTTAGTTTGTTGTAGTACAGAGTTAGCCTGATAACTTTAATCTACATTGTCTTATGGTTGTTATTGCTTGACTTGCAACCCAATAGGATTTTTGCACACAACGTTGAAATACGGTGTTTTTTCTGGAAGACTTTGCTGTTTTTTCCTGGATTTTTCTGTTACGTGTAGTCACTTTAAGATGTTTCTTGTTCATGTTGTTGTTTGTTGCACCCGAGTCAAGAGCCACATGGCTCACAGGTTTATATACCTAATAAATGGAACTGAAAACTGAAACTGAAAAGACAATGGAGGGGAAAACCTGAAACCAGATGATGGATGGGCTTTTCGAGCAGACCTTCGAGGACTGCAATCATTTGTGGATCTGGCAGAAGGAAAGAAGCAATGGCTGGATGTGGCAGCATCCCCATTAACCTTCATGCTGCACTGCAGCATGCGGTGAATCTACAATGGGGTGCTCGCACGAGCACACAATTAAAGTGGACCTTGAAACTCGGCAATATATATGATTTGCAGACACATTGAGGCACATCGTTCCATCATCAATGGGGGGCAGAGATATATTCACCATAAAATCACCGAATATACACACTGGAACAATTCACGGAACGGAAACGCCGATGCAACACGCGCAGATGACTCAAGGGCAAGCGTTGACAACACAGCCATGCATGTAAGCGGGCCCACATTGACAGGAAACGCCATTCAGCGCCATGCGCCGCATCTGTGTTTAGATGCTGTATGAATCAAAATTGTATTGTACATTGTATACACACACAGAGGTGTAGTACATAAACAGTAGTACGCAGAGACGTGTGGCACTCAGCCTTGGCCCTATGACCTGCATGCAAGAGCAATCGGCGCCTTAAAGAGCTTGAGCGTAGAAATTGAAGGTTTTCCCACCGTGCATTATCTTCCCGTGACTATTCCACGTTGTGGAATCTATTACACGCCAGATTCTCCAGATATGTTACGTCAATCGAGAGACATTTTAGGAATGTATTAAGCTCAAATTTTTTTTCCAGTTAACACAGACAAGGTGATGTCAGTAAATTATTTGCCATGACATTTGGTGGGATGGATCGGTGGAACAGTGTTCTACACACTACGCTATTAACGCAGCGGCTTGAGTTTGATCTCATCACAGCTGGCACAATTTGTAAGCGATATCTGAACCGATCCCTGGCCCCCCTTAACCAACCCACAATAAAGAGTGTGGTGAAGTATCGTCTTAAAAACACTCTCAACTAGACGTGAAATGGGGAGGCCTTCATCCAGCAGCGGATTGAATAAGGGCTGACAATTATTGGCTGTCCCTTCTTAAAGTGGTCATTAATCCAAACTTTCACCCTCTGTTATAGCACTACTCCGATGTCAGCCAGACATCTAGATCTTTTGTTATGTCATCATTTTGAAAGTTAACATACATTCGGGAGTTCAGAGGCTGTGCTGTGTGAGGCAAGACGGGAATGAAAAATGCTGTTTTGCCATCAGTCTGTTGCATGGACGGCAGGAGTCGGTCAAGCAAATAGAACACATTCTAGAAATTGTAGGCAGAATCGTGGCTTGAATCTCTTGAGAGAAATGGCCATGATGGTAGCAGTAGGAGAGAACAAGGAGGCAATCGACTTATGTACGGCACGTGGTAATTACTAACCTGCAAGTGCAAATCGGCAATATGGACCCGCCGATCAAACACTGCTTTGTCTATGCCTTTAGGAGCATTGTGGTAAAAAGGTCACTTTCATTGCCACACCTATTAACATCATGGGGGTGGGGAGGGGGGAAGAATGCCAATCCCATCATATCTTGCCTGCTTGGGTCTGCAGAATTGCAGAATATTTTTTATGAGGTCTTGAGGAACGGGGTTGGGGGGCTCCTAAGTGAACATGTTGTAAACTAAACAGTTTTTTTTATTTACCAAGCAAGAGTCACTCTGAGCTGGAAATCTCTTGCCGAAGCGACCTGTCCACATATGATAGCTCAGCAAAGTGGCTTATTGTGTGGAAATATATAGCGGCCAAATAATCTAAACACATGTCTCTCAATGTGGAGAGAAAAACCGAGGACCCGGAGAAAAATCCAGGCGACCACGGGGAGAGAGACATGTAAACTCCAAATATACAGGCGTCCAGGGTCAGGATCGAACCCACGACCTAAAAACCAGGCAAGGTAGTGAACATTTCGTCACCGTGGGCCCCCCCCCTATGTTGTGGTAGTATAGATGATGGATGTGGCTTCTGCTGAAGTCAACTGATTGCTTCGCATTGGTTAACCATGTCGTGTATGCGAATTACCTGGTGAATGCTGGCTATACCGAAGAGTTAAAAACCTTAATGCGTCACCTGGAGTTTTCTGTAAAGATTAATTTTAGCCCCATTAAAAACGAAGCACCTGCCGGAGCACTTTGCATCGTCAAGCAATCCTCTTGTTAGGCGACACATTGCAGGCTAGATGAGTTCAGGGAAGGTTAGAGAAGAAGGGTCGATCTTGTGCAGGAGAAGCTGGTGCCGAGCGGACTTGCATATGGCTGGTGCCAACAGTGTTAAGATAATGAGCCTTTGTGGAGGAGGCTTGTGAAAGATGATACTGGGTGGCTGGCGACAGAGCCGTTCCACAGCGAAGGCAGGTAGAGATCCAATGCTCATTGCAGAAAGGACAAGGTGGCTGAAACACAATGAGCTGACCTAGTGGGCGAGGTAACGAGCTGTCATCATGGTGCATCTTCCAGTCTCCCTGGTCTCGTAACTCATAAGAATAATGTTTTAGTTTTATATTGCGTCGTTGGTGCAAATGACATCTCATAATCGCCGTGGAACCATGGAAATTCTGGAAGGCAGCCAGGTAGTGAGCAGGTGCCATCTATTGCCAATAGCTTTGCAGTCCTTTAAGTATTAAGACATTTTCATTCATTAATGAGCGTTTATACACAATGATTGTGCCTGTCCTCTGACTTGTGGCCAGCATGTTGTTTTTCCACGCAAGATATGGTGCACACTGGCGTGCAATGACTGCCACTGAGTTGCAAATGGCAGCTGTTGTCTGTGTGTGCGTGCAGTGTTAGATAATGGCAGAGGGGGGGGGTGTGGTAATGGTGGTTAGCACACTTCCGCGACCCTTCTAGTCCTGGGATACGCAGTGGCAGCCCACCATGATACCAACCACACTACCTGCTCGTGTGCCTTGCCTCCTTTGCAAGTTCTCGCTCATAGCGTTTGCTCCCTGCTGTCCGCAATTCTAATTGGGGAGCTATTTGTCTTGTGCCTGGTGCGCGTGCCACGTGCAGTGCTGGCCCGAAGGGAGACAACATCTACGAGTGGAGGTCCACCATCCTGGGGCCGCCAGGCTCCGTGTACGAGGGGGGCGTCTTCTTTCTGGACATCACCTTCACCCCCGAGTACCCCTTTAAACCCCCCAAGGTATGTACGTATATTCTTAGGTTTTTTCGGTAAAGTCACGTAGGTAAAAAATTAAAATTAATGACAGTTAAATAAAATAAAAAATCACGACGTTTCGGAGGCAACACAAGCCTCCGTCTTCAGGTGGAACCGTCACAGCACGATGGCTGTATCAAGTACTTGATGCAGCTATCGTGCCTCCGAAACGTCGTGATTTTTATTTTATTTTTATTTAACTTTTTTAAATTTTTTACCTACGTGACTTTACCGAAAAAACCTAAGAATATGAATCCTTGCAGTCACGAAAGCTTCAAATCTAGAAGTACGTACGTATGCATGTTGAACTTCTTTGGCACCGTACATAACAAACCGTGCTCAACGGAGGTACAGGGGAAGGGCAACAAACTAGACTCACAAAGGTATTGTACCTTTGTCACACGCACACACACTTTACTGCTGGGATTTCTGGAGACTATACATGACCCTGTATTTAAAATACACATGTATCCAAGGTAATCCTTTGATACACGCCAGACATGTTTGCACTGGCTCAAGCATACATGGTCGTGGGCATTTAGAAATGTGGAACAAGACAAACAAAATATGGAAGGTTCTATAGTTTTTCTAATTTAAACACATAGATTAATACATTAAATACCCACTTGACATTTTAATATCTATCTTAAGTTTCATGGTAAAATTACAAAACATGTCTATACATGGTGTCTGTGTCAGGCGAGTGATTTCTGGTGAATGTCTGATGAGGAGTGCTGAGTGAGTGTGAGTGTTTGCAGAATGATGTCTGAAAAGTGTTGTATGTCTGATGTCTGTCGGGTGAGGGTGGTGAGTGTCTATGAGGAGTGTTGAGTGTCTGGTGAGTGCGAGTTGTGAGTTTTTGCGAAATGATGTCTGGTGAGTGTCAAACGATATGTTGAGGATGAGCTGCCCCCTAGTAATGTGCATACAATAATATACACGTGATACATTTATACCGTAGACATTCACAATGATTAATTACGTACGATTATTAACATTTTATCATGTGCTAGTTAAATTGACACGCAAAATTACTCATTATTAACCGCAGAAAGGCTGTCATAATGCCACATTATTTGTACAATTCCTAATACAAAACATTGAAACACAGACAGCAAAGAAGCTCACTGGTGTCCTAACGCTAACTATTCTTGAATGGACATGTATTAACCTACATGCTCTGAATTGTTGGAATATTAAACAACCTCGGTGTAAGCCCCACTTAATGGTAATAAAATACAATGAATCTCAGAGATTAATAACTTCATGATACCGCGTCGCATTTTATAAGATGTATAAATGTAACTAATTTGCTTGAAGTGTTTGCAAAGGGGTAAGGGGACACTGGCTCAAATGCACATGAGCAGTCTATAAACTATCATCACATTTCTCAGATGTTTGAAGGAACTTTTTGAAAATGTTCAATATATAGAGCAGCTTTCTCTCTGAAGGTTATTTAAGTTTACATTCAAATGCATTCCTACGTCACACGTGTCGTGAGCAACATGCTGTACACGTTTCTATCAATGAGTTATTTTGGTAATATTTGAACAGGGACAACTTCATCTTCTTGGTTCTTTCGGTAAAGTCCCGTAGAAGGGAAATAATAAAATAATAAAAATAAAACGTAATAAAATACAATTCTCACTGACGTTTCGGCCACAACGCAAGCAGCCGTCCTCAGGTGAAGAACAGGTCTGTCGGAAAGACAGCATCTGAATGAACACCACCAAGCTTGGCAGCGCATATTTCATTATTTATTATGGGTGTATTTATTTATTATGTTTCATTTTATTTGTATTATTTTATTATTTCCCTTCTACGTGACTTTACTGAAAGAACCAAGAAGATGAATCCCTGCAGTCACGAAATCTTTAAATCGAAAGGGACAACTTCTTTAAGCCAGACTAATTGGGAGAAGAGCCTGTCCAGTGTTAGGGGATGGCCGTCATTCTGCCTTATAATCCCGAGTCAAGGGCGCTAAACATAATGCCCCACCCAGCTTAGAAGTGGTCTTCAACTTACTGTCACTGCCAGACACCCTTCCATGCCAGGCCCCTCGGCATTGCTCAACCTCAAGGTAAAAACGAGGCCTTGTTCATATCAAGCAAATATGCGTCCTGTCTGAGAATACGAAAGCACATTACAGACCCTGCGGGACTTGTCGTAACGAGCTGTGAATCTTGTCTGCATACCCTTCTTCTGCAGGTGACTTTCCGTACACGGATTTACCACTGCAACATCAACAGCCAGGGTGTCATCTGTTTGGACATCCTGAAAGACAACTGGAGCCCGGCACTCACCATCTCCAAGGTGCTGCTTTCCATCTGCTCCCTGCTCACCGACTGCAACCCTGGTGAGTTAAGGGCACTGCAGCGTGTCCGTGGTGCCTGCTGGACCCAACCTTGCCCCATGGTTGCTGACCTTTGGTAGTTTTGCTGAGTCACTGTAGCAGTTGTTGCTGTAGTGTCGGGTGAATCCAGTGAGGTGGCAGGGTGGGTTTGGGAGAGGCCGTGGGAGCCTGGCTGGGCAGGAGGGACTTTGTGGAACCACCAGGGGCCTTAGCGGATGGGATGAGATTTCTGATATGATTTTATTTTTACTCCCATAGCTGTAATTTCGTGATAAGTGCAGAGCCAAATGTGATGGGGTTTGCAAAAATAAAAAAAAAATCACGTTTGCCGAGCACAGGGTTCGAGGCTCAAAAACGCCAAGTGATGAGTATCGCACGTCCGATTGGCACGTTTGGCTACATACGGTGTGAAAGATGTTCCGCATGCATACATACATAGGTATTGAACAGCACTACAAGTTTCTATTAATTTATAGCCAATGCAATAAAAAATATAGGTCATTATTTAATAACTTAATTTGCCAGAGGCTGCAAAATTGGGCTCAATATAAATGTGAAAAAAATGTCACGTCTAGCAAGTTTGTGTGTTGGAGGGACGCAACCCGCAACACACGTGACCAAAGTTTGTCCACCTAAGACGGTTATTATGGTGGACTGGGAGCAAAATGATGACATGAAGAAGTGAACGAGGGTGGGTAGAAGCACTTTTTGAAAATCTGAACTTGGTGGTGAAAGCAGGCGGAGCGATGAAATCCCTTAGCGAGCAGGCCCTGGGGCAGTGGTTGCATCGTGAGACCGCGAGGGCTTTGAGAGGCCTTCATCCTGCAGTAGATAGGTCATGGTAGCTGGTGATGTGTCATAGATGTATCATTTACTTGATTTCTGCAGTCGGTAGCGGCATTAAATGAACCTCATGGCGGTACCCCGGGGTACCATAACACCCTGGCTGTCGCATAATGTCCGTGATGCAGTCGTTTTTAGTCTGTTGATGGTCGGCGATGCGGCAATACACTCGTCTCGACGAGCTGTAATCACGATGCACCACCGCTACGGTGCGTACCGCGAGCGTTCAGGGTTTCAGCACAATAGTCATCGCTGCGTTTCGACATTGCGGAGTAGCACTGATTGGGATTGATTGGTGTACCCCAGTCGCGGAGTTAAGTACACCCCTGGAAAAAATATCGTGTCCCAGAAATACAAATATTTAATTGCCTCGGCCCATTTAGTATTATTTGGTATTCCGGGGTACCGCCATAAGGATCAAATCAACCCCACTGTTTGTAAATAATTAACTTGAATTGGGACAATTTGAGGTGGATGACATAAAAAAAACTTAATAATTAGCCAGTATACTGTGGTACCAGTCTGTCATTGGATGCAGCAAAAACTAATTCCTTATGCATTTCTAAGTATCTTGATGTTTTTAAATGGAATTTTCTTTTGTTTTTGTTAGTAATGTGCTCCAGCTAAGCTAAATAATTAAAGCGCGCCTGCTCCGTTCTGCCAAACAAAGGATGCACTCCTAATCATCGCCCGCGGTCGCACGGCACAAAAGTAGTTTTCTGCAGCGACCACCTCGTGGCACGACAGGAGTTGTCACGTATTCAGAACATCCCACTGGGCGTTCCTTGGAGATGAAAGTCTAATAGCATTGAGCCCCCAAAGAATCTTACAATTTACATTAATTGTCTGTCGGCATCCTAGGGATTATCTCTTGAATGACGTTCACGTGCACTCTGCGAATGTAGAGCGTTTGTTTTTCTACGTTTGTTGCTTTGCTCTGAACCCAGCGGCAAACGTGTGCAGACTCTGTTTGTCCCGAGTAGATGTCTTGTGCTGCACAAGCCACTTTGACAGCGACACTGTGATTTGCACAAACTATTGAAGACATTCATTGTCACACAGATAGCAGGGTGCAGCTTGGAATATTTGAACAGTGTCCTATTAAATACAGTTATAATAGGTCGGACAAAGGAGTACCTGATCATCTACATAATAAAAAAATCATTCATTATTAACATAGTTTAACATTGCAAACAAATTAACGTTATCAGCTAATGAAGTATAACAATGTTATGCAGGAGGTTGTCGGTTGCATCCGGACCCTGACAATGCTTTGAAGTTTGGAGATGGCGTGTTCTCTCCTCTCCCCTTGGTCGCGTGGCTTTCTGTTCGGGTCCTCCGGGTTTTCCCTCCACATTTATAAACATGCGTTCAGATTATTTGGATGAATTCCTACATTGTGATAAGAAGACACTTTGATGACCTATCATTTGTGGCCAGGTCACCTCTGAAAAAGATAGCGAATAGCTCACTGGGCTTTACCTGGCAAATAAAATAGTAGAATATTGTTAAGCGATGCACAATTTCAAGACAAAATAGCATTTCATGTCGTGATACATTGGGATTGAGGGCTTCACCACAACTGGCACAGAGGGGGGGGGTTCAATCTGAGCACGCTGCGCTGCTGCTGCAACTGCTGCAGCGTCCAACAGCCTGGCCCTGCGGCCCCCACCACTCCAGCACAGCACGTGCGTGTGCACAGCGCGTGCGTGTGCACGGCGCGTGCGTGTGCACAGCGCGTGCGTGTGCACGGCGCGTGCGTGTGCACGGCGCGTGCGTGTGCACGGCGCGTGCGTGTGCACGGCGCGTGCGTGTGCACGGCGCGTGCGTGTGCACGGCGCGTGCGTGTGCACGGCGCGTGCGTGTGCACGGCGCGTGCGTGTGCACGGCGCGTGCGTGTGCACGGCGCGTGCGTGTGCACGGCGCGTGCGTGTGCACGGCGCGTGCGTGTGCACGGCGCGTGCGTGTGCACGGCGCGTGCGTGTGCACGGCGCGTGCGTGTGCACGGCGCGTGCGTGTGCACGGCGCGTGCGTGTGCACGGCGCGTGCGTGTGCACGGCGCGTGCGTGTGCACGGCGCGTGGGGGAGGAAGTTCCCCGTGTCGTGTGCTGGGCAGGCAGTGGTGACAGCACTCCAGAATCTCAGCGCTCAGGCAGGCACAGGTCTTGCTCATAGGTGCTCATCCGGCTGCTGCTGCTGCACCAAGCCTGTGTGCACAGGCACGGTGTGTTCCAAAACTGGGCAGATATAGGTCTGAACAACCACACACGTCCCATGATTTCTTACCCAAGCGGTACAATTCACACGGCATAAACAGTCTAACTGCACAGTAGAATAGTTGCTCACCTGTTTTCTGGAATGTTTACCTTTTACCCCATCATTAATAAGCTTTGATAATCTGCAAGTATTCTGTTTTCCTACATATTTCCAAAATCATCATTAAAGACCTGGACTAATATCCTAATCAATGAATCTACTGAAAAGGTCCTGTGACCCAGTAAAGCGTGTAGATAATGGATGGGAAACTCAAAAAACACTCAGTGCATTAATCATTATCCCTGCCTTTTAACGGGAAAAATATCGAGTAGGCTTGACACTTCGGTCGGCAGCCCTTCAGAGCAGAGAAGGCAGGAAAATTGCCGTATAGGTGGAGATTGCATTTTACACTGTGGAGCTTGAGAGCCGGGAAATATTCGTTGAGTTGACAAATGACAGTCAGGTGGTTTACTCTGAGTGGACATTAAGTGGTCAAACCTTTTAAATCAACGAGTCTTGAACAGAGTTTTTTTTTTTGCCAATGTATTTCTCGCTTGTAAGGTACTGCATTCATCAAATGATTGGAAACAGAAATGTGTTGATAATATATTTTATGGTCTATGTTTGTAAGTTGAATCATTCAGAATTGTAAATGGAGATGAGTATGCACCGTGCTTGGTCATACAGTATGATTTTACTTTTTTGACTCGATCAAGATGCGCTTCCCTCCCCAAATGTTATTTCTCTGTCCCCCCCCCCTCCCCACCACCAAAATCCCAACCCCCTTCTCCAGCTGATCCGTTGGTGGGAAGCATCGCCACACAGTACCTGACAAACAGGGCCGAGCATGATCGGATGGCTCGCCAGTGGACCATGCGCTACGCCACGTAAGCTGGTTGCTGCCCAAAAGAGTATTTTCTACGAGGGGTGATCGAAAAGTTTATGGCCCGATGTAGAACTTTCATCGTGCTCACCTTGATGAAACCGTGCTATTGCCCGACCTGGCCCCCTCATGCAGTTCAAAGTGCTTCGTTCCATTGATTTTCCAACCCTTCGACTATGCTCATGAAATATACATCATCTTCTTACGACTCAAACCACTCATTTACACCATTTTTTGTTGTCATTATCAGTCAAAAAAATTCTCTGAAAGATATATATTTGTTTTACTTTGGAAACATGCAGGAGTCACTACAAGGCCCAGATCTGATGATTGTGTGGAATGAGCGACCAATTCAAATGCGACATCACGAGTGGCAGCCGTGGCAACTTGGAACTTGTGAGCTGGATCATTGTTCTGTTAAAACAGCACAATGTATCGTGACGTTTAGAATCTTTTTGATAATTTGTGATGTTTTTCTTTTCAATTGGGATCTTTGCAATGCTGCCGTGTGATGAAGGTGGCTTGAAATACGAATGTTGTGACTTGATCTGCCTCCCATGAAACCAACACTTTGCCTAGCCTTCAAGTCTACACTTTAGTGGTAGTGATTGTGTTTCCAATGAATTATCTGAGCTTTGGTGTCTGAATCAAAGTGACGGATGCATGTTTTATCTTTAGTCCCTTGTCTTTTAGATAACTTTTTTTTATGGAATTTGATTTACGGTCCAGGGGAACATGACTGCCTGAGTCTAGTTCGCTTTTACTGGACGTTCAACATTTCTGAGGACGCATGTCGTCACTTGCTTGTCCATATATTGTTGGTCAATCTCTGCCTTTTGAGATACTATATGATGGGCCACAAGTCTCAAATATCTCTTACGATCAGACAGCGATGGTGTTGATTAGCTCATAAAATGTTTATTATTTTCAATGTTAGTAGTTGGGTGGACATACCCATGGCACATCAGCGTCACAAGTCCTCTTCCACATTAAATCCCTGCACACTGCTCACCATGAGATATGATGAGGCAGTCTGCTTTGTCAGTGTTGGGTCATTATCTTGTGACTGTTCTCAGCTCGGATTTCATTATTTCTCAACTAACACAGACAATTCAAACTCCTATTCTGCATGAAAACACGGTTATCATTATGAAATCAATTGAATCTGTTAATGGAACATTTACACTTTGCGTTGTAGCACTAATAGTTCTGTGTTGGGCCGTGGGTCATTGATCACCCCTTGTCAAACCTTTCATGGAAAAAAAAAGGGGGAACCGAGATGTATATGGTGTAAAGTCACTCAAACTGTAAAGTGATTTTCTATTATAAAAAGGAAAAAAAACAAAAAGCAACTAATGATTTCTAGAGCCTTTGCAGGTGAGCTTTGAGGTAGCAACGTAGGCCAATTTTGTCTCGTTTCCATTAGGGACGTAGTGCGCGTTTTGAATATAACCTCCAAGAGTTCCTAGATTAACGTGGGCAGTGCCAGATTTTTGCATGTGTCAGTGCGTGTGGTCCAGTTGGTTCCTGATTGCAGTGTTACATTGTATTTTCAGTATCTTGACATGTTGGAGTAGTGTTTCAGCAGTAAACTATTATTCAGGAAATGCAGTCTTTCAAAGGTGGAAATCTGTGTGCGTGTGTGGTATAGAAGAGGGCAAATGTCTCCCTGAATGTGCTTATCAGTTTCTCTTTCGTTACAGTCTCCAAAGAGCGCAGCAGGTTGAATGTTTCCCCCTTTGCTTTTGTACAAGCTTGTCCATATGTATCATCATCCAGTAAATGAATGGTGTAGTTCATATGAAGAAAAGTTAATTGTTTAATGCTTTTAGATTAATGTTTTTATTGAAATGCCTGATAACTAATTTTTCGGTTGTTGCAACCACAACATATTTCAATGTGTGTTGAACTTCTTTCGCATCGTATGTAGCCAGCCGTGCTAATCGGAGGTGCGGGGGAGGGCAACCAACTAAACGCAAAAAGCAGTTCTAAAGAAAAGAGTTTTCAATCTAGCCGATTTAAAAGTGCATCGCTCCAGTGGCTTCCTAATATCGGAATGAAGAGCGTTCCAGACGGCCACAGAAGCGCATCTGAAAGCGCCGCGCGATGCAGCGACCACCGTCTTTGTTGGACGGTGCACACAAGCACGGATTAAGTGGCTCGGCAAAATGTTAAAGGATAATATTTTAAGAAACAGCCTTTGTCAGAAAGGGAAAAATATGTTACTTTGACCAGTCAAGCCTTCTTGAGCTTAATAAAGTAGGGATATGCATGAGTTGTTGGTATGTTTAAAGGCTTGTGCAATCTCTTGTTATTGTAAATGTACATACTGTTTACATTTTATTGGAATTTTCCCAACACTAAATTCGGGGGTTTCAGCCATTTCCAAAACATGTGATTAAGACCCTAATTCCTAATCCTTGGCAACTGTGCACTGTTAGATTTCCCAGGAAATGTTAGGCCTGGCAAATGTTACAAACTCATAGCCATGGTTTTCTTTCACCGTTACCAGTAATACATTTGAAATTTAAATCTTTCACCTGTACATTTTGCTGACGTAAGGCATAATGAATGCAATAAGACGATTTACTGTAACTGTTTAACACGTAGTAGGCTTTCGCGACCAATATCATCCATAATAGAGGTTTTTTTGGATTAGATCACTTAAATATATAAATGTGTCGTTAAAACCCACCACCACCCGACACAGCCAACTAGTAAGGGTTGTCACGTAAACAGAACGTGGCCAATTCGTCACTAGTACAGCACTAACCGGTGTGTTGGAGAGCCAAGCCACAACATTTACAATCTGAGTACGACGTTTCGCCAGTAATTACAACTAGCTTCATCAGGCGATAGCCAGATTTGTGGAGAAGTCTAACTGTTTCGTTCCTTATATAGAGGCGTAGATGTGGTGATCACGCTTCTATGCTCTTGCACCACGTGGGGTGGGGGGGGGGGATTCTAAAGAAAACGTACGCTATGCATTAACCTGATGTCCCATTAAGACCCATAGTTAGTACAATAGGCTCTGCCATGTACAAATTAGCACAATACCCAACGAAACAAATACAGCCCTACATTGGTAGGACCTCTTCGTTCATCAAAAACTCTGAACATCTCGGAAAAATATAATCAAGGATAATAAGCTTAACCCTAATGATATTCTCATAAGTTTTGATGTGACCTCTCTGTTCACGAGGGTTCCAGTCAACGAGTCAATTAAATTACTCGACACTCTGGTAACGAACAAAGGTTTAGCCAAAGATATCCCAAGACTAGCTGAACACTGTCTAAAGAACACCGACTTCTTGTGGCAAGGTGAATTCTATAAACAAAAGGAAGGAACAGCAATGGGCTCTCCTTTGTCTCCTGTGATAGCGAATTTGTACGTGGAAGATTTTGAAACAAAAGCAATAGCTTCAAGCACTCTAAAACCATCTGCTTGGTTTAGATATGTGGATGACACATTGGTGGTCTGGCCACACGGCAAATATACACTGAACGCATTTCTAAATCATCTCAACTTGCAAAACCCATCCATCCAGTTCACCATGGAAGTGGAAGCTGACGGAACTCTACCATTTCTGGATATTCTGCTCGGACGGGGCCGGAGTGGTAAAATAACACACAGTGTTTACCGAAAGAAAACGCATACTGACGCCTATCTGAAAGCAGTCACACCATCATCCCACGCAGAAATCTGCTCTTATCAAGACGCTCATTCATCGAGCTAAGAAAGTGTCTGATGGTGACAGTCTGAGAAGTTAAATTCAACATGTTAAAGAAGCACTGCAAATGAACGGTTACAATGGTGCACAAATGAACAGGGCATTGAATGCCAAAGCCAAATCAAATAACACGACCATTGAAACTGCCCAAGTAATTAAAACGATCAAATACCGTACATTGCGGGAGTAACTGATAAACTAGCCAGATATTTGGAAAAACAAAACATCCGAGTCAGATTTGGCACGGTACATAAAATACATAAATTAATATCTGGTACAAAGATGTATTACCGAAGCTATCAACCGAAGGTGTGTCCAGGATTAACTGCACGTGTGGTAAATGTTGTGTTGGGCAAACAGGACGAATGATCAGCACGAGACTAAAAGAACATCAGAGAAATATTAAATTCTCCCAAATTGTACAAGAGCGCAGCTGCGTTGTCAACGCATCTACGCCTCTATATAAGGAACGAAACAGGTAAGACTCCACAAATCTGGCTGTCGCCTGATGAAGCTAGTTGTAATTACTGGCGAAACGTCGTACTCAGATTGTAAATGTTGTGGCTTGGCTCTCCAACACACCGGTGTTGCTGTACTCGTGACTAATTGGCCGCGTTCTGTTTACGTGACAACCCTTACTAGTTGGCTGTGTCGGGTGGCCGCGGGTTTTAACGACACATTTATATATTTACGCGATCTAACCCCAAACAACTCTTATGGATTACTGTAACTGTTTTATTTGTGTGCTGAAGCTGTACCGTGTGCTGTCCAGTTCCCCTGAACATGACTGTAGTTTATACGATTTACAAATTACATTTATCATGCAAACTACTCATTGGGTTTTTGTTTATTTTATTTGACTGCACCAGCAAGGAAACTCAAGGCCTCGTGTACCATTTAGTGCAATGGAAATGCCCCGTTGTAGCCTGAAAACTCTGCCCCGCAGAGCAAAGAGGCACTTGACTTGCGTTATACTTAACATGGTTTCATTGACTGAAATGGCAGTGCCACGAGTTATTTTGTGTGCGCGTTAGTGGGCAAGCCTGAAAGGTGAAGCAGTGTTTGAGATGATTACGAGGCCATGTCAGCGCACCACTTAAGAGAAGAAAAAAAACACCACCTCCGTCCAATTTAAACAATTCTGTACCTGCACAAAGGCACAAAGAGATGGCAGCAATTGCGTGTCGTAGAAGGTTAGCCACTGGGCGAAGAATCACATGTAGTGTTGGGGGGGGGGGGGGTATAGTGTCCGATGTGGTCGGCACCATTCACGGCATCGCACTGGTCAGAACTGCAGTACAACAAGCAGACAACGGAAGATGTCTGGCTCTTGAATGCAGATTACGAGCAGCATAAGTTCCTCGCATGATGAGGTGCTCAACTTGAAAGTTTTTTTTATTAAAACTTCACAAATACAAGAGAGTAGATATCATCGTGAAGTGGGAGAGGGCACATGTCGTTGCAGATGGGTTTGAGGCTTGTCACTAAACAGAGCTCCTGTTTGCTGTGCAATGTTCATCAGCAGATGTTCTCAAAACAAACTGGATCCTTTCTCAGTTCTGCAATGCGACACTCTGTTTCACTCGTGCACAGGATCATTTCATCACTTCATCCTCCTTTAGGTAAACTTCTAATTAATTGGGTCACAATCTGCTTTCGAGATGCTCCCCTGGATAGAGTAATCTGCTGCATGAATGACATTACTCTGAAAACACGACTTGTTTTTGCCCACGTTACCTTTCGTAAAGCGTTGCAGCCATTCTCCGTTCTTGCCATGCACGGCAACCTTTGGGGGAGGGGGAGGATATTCGTGATTGTGTGTATTTAATGGAGCGCAATAAATCTGCAACGTGAGTAATTAGAAGAAGAAAAAAGCCCTGTTGTACTCACGTGACGCATTTCTTCACTGCTTCGTACATGAGGCCCCTTGTCTGTCCGGTTATGTAAGCAAATGGATGTTTCTAGGGAAACATCCAAAACGTTATCTGTATTTCTGTCCAACAACATGGTTCAAGAAAGCCTGAAAACGCGTACCAAAGGAATATTTTTACAAACCACATCCAGATTTCTGCTGCTATGTGAAAATACAGGTCAAATTGTAAGAACCTATACATTATGAAGTCGTATTGCCATCATGGATTCACGATCAGTGGATTGGGTTCAGTTGATCCATTGAGCCATAGCATTATCAAGCTGCTTTTATGTTGCCATATTTTGGGTTTTAATTGAAACCAAATCAATTATTTGGTACTTTCCGCTCATGGCATTCGGAAACATTGTGTTCTGCCATCTTCATTGGACTTGCTGGTCATGTGTCCTCACTGTTTCAGGGCAGATAGCCACAAATATATGTACATGAAGTATTAGCAGTGCAGTAAATGAGTATTCATGGACAGCATTGTTCTCTATTTTAAGAGGTTAGGTTTTTTTTTTCTTTCATAAATCTAAATGTGTGTACTATGTGGTTAAGATTATTTGGATGGTAGCAAGTAGGGTCAGGTACAAGCTATACTAGGTTTTGGGAACAGTATACGTATGTGTATGTACAATGAAAGACTGTTGAATTGAAGACTGCTCTGTATCGATGTCATTAAAGGCACTGTTTTTCTCATCTGTAAAACATGTTGTCATGCTTTCTTTCTGTAATTGGTCTCGTTGCAGGCTGAGAGATGTGCCCATTGAATGATGTAAATGAGAATATTTTTGCCCATTATGTTCCAAGAAACTTCCACAAAGATGTATTGCTTGAGGGGTACAATGTCAAACTGGGATTTTATTTCACGGCCGATCCATTATAACTTTCCACAGGTTGCATCTGCTTTTGAGTTTTCACATTTTGAAGGCTGACTGCTCCTATATGTGTGCGGGCCTGCTATTTCTCAATGAAAAATATTTAAATCTGGGGTTCTTACCATAATGCCTGTGGGGTTCAGGCACATGCAACTATTATAGAGCATTGAGAAGATCGGACGTTCTCCAAGCTGCGATTTCAATGTGAAGTCCGGCGATATATTTAAGAACAAGTTCAAGTATTAGGTATAGCCCTGTGTGAGCCATTCGGCTCTTGAATCGGGTGCAACCGCAACAAACAAAAACATGAACAAGAAAACAGTCTTAAAGGGGATATGTGACTAAGTGCAAACAGAAAATCCAAGAAAAGACAGCAAAATATTGCAGAAAAAAACACCGTACACCAACGCTGTGTGCAAAAATCCCAGTGGGATGCACATTTATCGACACTAATTAATACCACTGTAAAAGTGTGAAACATTCTTGACAATTGATTGACAATTTCTCTTAATTATTCGTTTTTATATTTCACTGTGAAAACTTCGATCTGCTGATCCTGGTCTACTTATTCCATAGACCAGACTGTGTTCTATGGGAGACGGAGATATGCTGTACCTCGGCTGCACAATTGTGGAATTGCCTTTGTCCTACAGGGAATTCGGAGTCTGTTACACTTAAAATCGCATGGTAATACCTGTTTTTTTACAACAGGCTTGCTTCATAACCTAAGCTTTATGTCAAGTGCTTTGAGGCATTGTGCGAATTACGCAGCAGATACACGAATATAGTGTTTTGCATATTCTTGGTTCTTTCGGTAAAGGTACTGGGGCAAGATTGAGAATTGTCAGCAATATAAGCGTGAGCTGGCTGCGTTACACATGCACGTCCCCCGTACTGTGAAACTTATTTTGCCTCCCAATTGAAATGTGGAAAGTTCAATCCCAGATAGACGTTATCAGGTGATACTCTACATACCATTAATAGAGTTCTTCGCATCGGCAGCTTCTGACAGGAGTATCCTCTTCTAGCCACCCACTTCTTCCCACAGAAATATCAGGAGAGCATCGTATGTGGTGTGTGTGTGTGCGGGGTGGGGGTTGGATCCAGTGCTTTGGCGACCTAGAATATTGCTCTGGTTATACTGGTAGGAATCTCTTGGTTACACCAGCCCGCAGGGGATTATTGTGTACGTCCGTCGTGCATCCAAAAATGGGAGGGGTGGGGCTGGGTGGGGAGGGGTGGGGCTGGGTGGGGAGGGGCTGGTCACCCCGTGGTGCCCTTATAAAAGTCAACGTTTAACCTACTCACGCCGGCTTATGCCCGCCCTCAGTTGGGCATATTTGCGGAATACACCACGCCGCCGTTGACCCTGACCATTGACCGAGCAACCCAACGTTCCTACCAGCTCCCTCCGCAGGAATGTGTTTGATTGATTCCTGGTGATTTCAGGGTGAATTTCTGGTCGGTAATGGCAGCCTGTGTTGGCTGGGGTAGCGTTTCACGGCAACTGGGTGGGGACCCAGAAATAATTTGTGGCACTCCGGCCCTTGGGGCTCTTGAGTTTCCGTTAGGTATAGATTGTTATGGCTCTTGTTCGTAGTATATACACGGAGCTGGAGCATGTTGACGGCTGCATACACAACATTAAATCTTGTTTTAATGCTCCACACAACTAATACTATTTTCTTTTTTCCCCTGCTCTGAAAACAAGCGCTGTGGATTCTCGCAAGGGAACGTCAAATATGCATTGGTTGTTTATCTTGCAAACATTCAGTAAACAACCCTGCTCAATTGGCAATTACTATTTTTGTAACCAGTTAAAGCTCACTGAGCTGTTTGTTATTTTTCAGAGGCGGCCTGGCCATACATGATGACAGCCCATTGAAGTCGCTTTTATCATTATAGCTGTACTACCCGGCTTCGCCCGGGACTTGGATTCACCACACCCGGCCGCCTTTGTCTCCCCAGTGGCGATGTTCACACCACACCAGTTACTTGTTTGAGGCTGAGTCGACCTAGGGGAGGCCCAGGACCGGTTCAAATAATCGTCACCGGTGGTGGCCGTGAGCGGGAATCGAACTCGGGTCGCCGGGTTCATAGCGCGGCGCGCTACCCACTACACTACAATGCGCTACGCTTCCACGTGCGCAGGTCACGTGCGCAGGTCACGTGACAGATTTGACGTCACAGCTCACTTGGCGTGCAAAACACGTTCCTTCGGAGTGGGCAGGTAGGAACTTGGTTGGACAGCGCGGCGTTCAGGGGGGGGGGCAGTTGGATGAGTGGGCGTGTTGACCCTTCCCCCCCCCACCCTCCCCGACATCGTCAACCAATTGCGGCGTAGCTTGGTGTTCGGTGGGGGGGGTGCATGGGTGGGCAGAATTCTGGACATGCACGACAGACAGACAAATAATCCCTGGTGGGCAGTGTGGAGCCTGTTGTTCCTACCTGTATAACACTCTAGGTAACTAAGACGCACACACACATACACTCACTCTCACACTCTGAGACTCACACTCACACTCTCAGACTCACACACATATACACTCACTCTCAGACTCGCACACACTCACTCTCACACATACACTCACTCTCAGACTCACACACACTCACACCTCACACTCTCAGACTCACACACTCACACTCTCAGACTCACACACTCACACTCTCAGACTCACACACACACTCACATCTCACACTCTCAGACTCACACACACATACACTCACTCTCACACTGGGACTCACACACACAAATTCACTCTCACACTCTCAGACACACACACACTCACTCTCAGACTCACACACACACTCTTACACTAAGACTCACACACACAAACTCACTCTCACACTCTCAGACTCACACACACACTCACACTCTCAGACTCACACACACACTCACTCTCACACTCTGAGACTCACACACACAAACTCACTCTCAGACACTCACTCTCACACTCAAACATACACACACTCACTCTGTGTGTTACCAGAATTTTTTAGCAATTAGCACCACCACAATTGCATCACCGATGCCACCGCGA